TTTTTCTTTTAACTTACAGAGATTTTCTTTTTTTATTGGTATTCGTCTTCTAGGAAAGGAGAAGAATATGATTATTATTTTTTTCTTTCCCTCTTTTTGTATAAGTCCTTTTTTTTCAATAAACCATTCATTCATTTTCGTTTGAAGAGGCGAAGAAGTAATAGTGTTCTAGAAAGAGATATATCAGTCTATCCTTAGAATAAATATTTGTTTGATAAGCATCGAGGTGCAGTTAACATGCATGCTTTCAAATTATCAATACATGAAAAAACCAGGTACTCTTTTCATTGTTGCGTAATTATTGACGATATCAATATAGGATCATTTTCAAAATGGTTCTTCTAATTCGAATCGATGCTGAGATCAGCCGTAGGATGATCGAAAGTTTGCAATAAAATCCTATCTGTTCGTACTATTCGGTGCATTTTTAATTATACTACTTATTAGACACAAAGAACAGTAGTTGAGCGTCATAATAATAATAGTAATCCATTAATACTCAGAGTAAAATTATCGTCATTTTTCAAAGTCAATAACAATAATATAATATTGAACTTCTAATTAAGATTGATAAAAACAGAATGAGTTTTAACAATCTTTTCCAGCATCGAACTTAACAACCAAAGACAAAATTTTAAAGAAATATAAAACAAAACTATGGAAAATCCAATTCACTACAATATATCTACTGAAGATGCCAACAACAGTGTAGCTTCACAATTTCTATGTACTGAAGTTAATCTTAGAGATGATGATTTAAATCAATAAGCCAAGTCACAATTTGGTTACCATACAGAGATCTTGCATGCATTTCAACTAAACGCTCGCAACGTACTCGCCAATGATGGACTATCATCGATTGGTGGCCACTTATTCTGTATTAATCTGGAAAAAGATTATATGAACTGCAAACGTGTGCTTAACTATGTTGCAGCCAATATGCAAGTAAAAACAACAATGCCTCTGTTGCCTCCGACATTTTTTGTATGTGGTCTACCTCGCACAGGTTCAACGCTCCTCTTCAATTTGCTTGCCTGTGATCCAAAATGTCGGGCGCCTCTGGCAACAGATATATTCTGTCCAGTCTCACCAATTGCTCGTTCAGATACTACTGGACAAGCACAGCGCATCCTCGAGATAGGCAAGTCCAGTGAACTATTCAGAGCGGTCAGATTGAACGATTACGAACAAAAATTACTTGCGGGTCATCCTCGCTATGCACACGAAGAAGATCTATTTCTGCTTTATCAAGCTGGAGTCAACTTTTTCAATACACTACTGACATCTCGTGATAATACAGAACTTTCAGAATGGTTTTGCAATGATACAAACAAGGATTTTGCATATGAGTATCATAAAACATTTTTTCAAATGTTAAACGATATTGATACACCTCGCTCCCATTGGCTTTTGAAATCTCCGATTCACACGTTCTTTCTTGATACTCTTTTACGTCACTATCCATCTGCATCTCTTATCATGACCCATCGTCGATTGGACGAAGTGCTGCCATCATATGCTCGCTTCGGTATCGTGTTAAACAGCCCCTATCTGGATAGTAATAAGATTGATGCGATGACCAATATGCACACAGTTGTACAGCGATACTTTAGTTCACTCGATATTAGAATTTCTCGCCTGATCAGATTTCGTCGTACTCATGAACACATTCCTGTTTTCGATGTAGTCTATAATGATTTAATTGCACAACCCATCGAAATTGTTCGTCGTATTTACCAATACTTTGGATTAGCTTGGTCGGACGACTTCGAGCAAGCCATGCTTGTATGGCTCCGCGACCATCCTCAAGGAAAGCAAGGGCGCAACACTTACACGCTTGAAGAGTTTGGATTGACATACGAATCCTTTAAGCAGCGCTATGAAGAGTACAATAAGATGTTTCTCAAAGCTCCAGAGCTATTAACGACAGATCACAACTCAACGAATAACTTGGATTTAGTTTCCGAGAAAGCTAATCTTGTGTCCCATTAAACGTAGAGATTATCGAACGATTTTCTTCTTGACTGCTTTAATTAATCCGCACTTTGAACAAAATCGTTTGCACTATAGATTTCACATACCTTCTAATTTTGTTTTCGAACTAGATTGAATGTTTACTTAATTACCTTCAATTGTTTGCAATGTGTTTGGTCGACTAGAATTCTAATAAAAATGTGCGGAGTCTTCTATTTCATGAAGAATATTCTTTGATTCAATCATATTTTAATCCATGTACCTACATACCTATTTGTTGAGAGTGTGGGTGTGGGTGTGGATGTGGGGCGTGGGTGTGGATGTGGGTATGGGTGTGGGTGTGGGGTGTGAATGCTGGAAAAGATTGTTAAAACTCATTCTGTTTTTATCAATCT